AGCTTTCATGATCTGCAGCTCGCATCATCAAGTGTTGATGAAGACAGACTCAGTCAGTCCTGTTTCACCAGATCTTTCTGAAAACTGACTGAACATCACCCCCTGCTGTGGATGTCTGACCTTTATTTCCCTTCTTAAAATGACTTTTTCAGCTCCTTAAGCCCTTGCTGCAACTTCTCTCTGTTAGCAATTTCTGAATTGGCCAATACTTTCTTTGTCTTCCTGGGTAGAGAGAAACCTTCTGGTTCACAGTAGTCAGGTTGTTGGTTACTACATTGACTAAGCTGGCCTGCCAGACTAGGAATTTTGTAGATGTAGGCCATCTCTTAGTCCCTGAACGCAGTGCATACAAAGAGCAAGCAGCTGTCTCACTCAGAAATCCCCACCTCTGGCATTTCAGTGAGCTTTGTGCTCAAGAAGCTCTGTCTCTCTGCTCTCTCTCTCAAGGTCATGTTCATAGCAGCTTCTCCAGGGTCTTCTACATTTAAACCAGATGTGATGCAAAACCAGTATCCTAGCCACATCTATATTCATAGGAACCCGTTCTTCATATCCTTACATTATTGCTGCTCCATCCTCCTCTATGGCCCATTGTTTTGGGCAGTAGCCTCTGCTCTAACCAAGTTTCTACCTAAACTAGAAGTCTTAATTGTCCCTTCTGTTGGGCATAATCTGAAGGCATATTTGGTACAGCCCTTCTGATTTCAATCAGGCATGTGATTCAAAGACTCACCAGATGTCAGTCATCATTAGCTACTTCTGGTTTATTTCACCTTGAAAGACATAGCAGTTCCACTCAATGGAACCAGAAAGGTTTGCAATCATTTATCAACACTGCAAGTTCATCTGCTGGGATGTTTACTGTACAAACGCTAGAGGGAAAGGAAACAGTGGCTGAGGATAAGCCACCCCTTGGTAAATACTTGAGGGAAAGGACAAAGCCCAGACATCAGTTCTGAAGATTTCTACATTTACAACGCTGGTTTGGACCCCCAGAGTTAAAGCCAGCCAAGGAAATCATAAGAATAAAGGGACTCCAATCAGGTTTAAAAGGGGCCCTATCTCAAGAGAAGAGAGAGATGTTTGGAGAAACAAGATACAATCCAACAGGGATGGGGGAGAGACATCTGAAGAAATTAGGCCTAGATTACCATCAGGGGATGACAAAACACTCTGTAAAACTGATGTGTCATTTTTCTGCCAGGTGTTGCCAGTGGCAAAAGTGGCTGGGTTCAATTACTTAAGGATACTTACTGTCTACAAATTTAAACAGCACTCACTGGATCCCACACTCAAAAGCCAGAGTAACTGAATTACCCCCCAGGGTATCCTGGAAAGGCAATATTTCCCCACGTAAAAGCATTTACAATCTTTCAAGTCCAAATATTTGAAACAAAGGGAACTTTATTAGTGGGAGGAGGAGGAGGAAAGAAACACCACAATAAGTTTCTGGAGAACGCCAGTGAATAAATTGCCTTGTTCTCAGGGGGCATTTATAGATGTGCGTTAATTAGTGAGCTGTGCTAATTTAAAGCACCAGAGCATCATATGTATCAGTGTCCCCACACTGAAAAAATGGCAGTGGAGCATTTTGAACTAACGCTTGCTCGACGGGCCTTAGTTCAAAGCGCTTCACCGCCATTTTTCAGCACAGGGATGCTGATACATGTGATGCTGGAGGCTGCTGGATCGCATTTATTTCTGCACTCCAGCAGACCCAATTAATCGAGTCTGCTCCAACACGCTGGATTTACAATGTGGTGGAGCATCCTCCCTGTATGTGTGTAAGTGCCCAGGGTGTCTTGAGAATATCTCTAACCTTTTCCTTTCCTGAGAGTTTGGGGTGGCTAATACCTTTCAGCAATAGCCAGGTCCTTTCTCTGCTACCCCTGTTCACAGTCTGCTGCCCGGGGTTGACAGAAGCCAAAAGGTGTGCAGGTCCATCACTCACACCATAGGACAGGCTGCTTGCTTTAGCTGGGCCAGAAGCTTTTCTCAGAGCTCATCAGCCCAGTTGCTTCTTTCTTCTCTTCCTGAGAAAGCCCCTCAAGCCTGCATCTTCACTTTGTCTGCTGCCTCATGTCTATGTTTTTCAAAGGGAAAGA